CTTTCCACCAGAGGCCATCTTCTCCCTTCCATGTGCAGTTGACAGCAGGTGTGTAAGAAGCTTCACCGACAGTCAGCTCCAAACTTAATATGCACAAATACCTGCATGTGTTTGCACAGTATAAAGTATCTCCTTTCTATCTATGCTGATTTTCCCCTTCAGTGCCTTTCTGCACAGATTCATTGTTCTAATATAAGAGCCTTCTCTGCCACTGTCAGAGCAGTCTCCCTTTATCTCCAATTCCACAACTTCCTCCTCTCCTTTCAAAACTTTAGAGAAAGAACGTCTTTTTTCTCCTTTTGCTGCATGCATCTATGCCTGCTCCCTCCCCTTTCCATTATGTCTTCCTGCCTAATTGTGTTTTTCAGCTTTGTAAAGTATTTTTCAATATAGATAGCATAAAAATTGCTATCTAAAATTAAATAGCATTGTATCACAGCCCACACTTTTGTCCCAGTAATATACACAATTTGAACTGACTCAAGCTGTGGTGCGTATGCAGGTAAAGTAAATTCTGAATTATTCAACACTTAAAAACACTGAAAAATCATTTACTTGTTACAAGCAATAAGATTTATGTTTTATGTCTCCCAATCAATAGCTACTGTGTCCACACACAGCTGATTTATCCATATGGAAAATATAATTATAAGTCGAGTTTGCTCTGAACCACAGAGTCCTTTTGTAACAAGATTATTTAAATACAAATGGGGCTGGAAAATTGGTTTTAAATGGCTAATCTGTCTTGTCTTCAACTCCAGCTGCAGAATTTACTAACATCATAAACACAGGCTGAGTGAAAATGTAAGAGGTTTTCTGATTCTCCTCGCGATCTGTCTATGCAGTGCTCATTAACGGTGAAGTTGATGGGAGCTGTATGCATGCCGTGAGAGGAGGATAATAAGCCTTGTAATCTCTATAAAGAGAAAGGGATTTTTACTAGTCATATGTCATATATATTGGTGTGCAAACGTCTGTCTTATCGGCAGCCCAATAAAGAATTTATGTACCCAGGTCTCAGATGCACTGAAGGACATATATGCCATATGTGTGGACAAAACCTATACCCAGGTGACTGGAAACTACTCCTCAGGAGGACCACTTGCAATATAGAGCATCAGACTTTTGTAAAGACATAATTAGGAAAAGTTTCATCTGGGCAGGCTTACTCGGGGATTACAAAAGGAGCTACTGCTTTCCTGCTGCCTCCACCAAAAGTGGCCGATGGCCCATGACATGCAGCAGGGAAATGCTGTGCTGGTACATCCTCCTCCAAGAGAGCACCACAGTATAGCCAGCTGGGAATACCCCATAACTTTGTCTCTGGGTCATGCAGATAGGCTGGGAGAAATTGAAGTTCAAATCTGATTTGGGCTGAGTGGAGATTAGGGCAGTTTTAGTTTAACAGTCATATTGGAGAAAAAATTTCAAGACCTCGTTTTCCTTTGCTGGAATGCAAACAGATGAAAACAAAGTGAAGCCTCAAATTTCCACTTGAAATGAAATGCTTGCCTTGAAACCCAGGAACTTCTGACACCCTTCTTTTCAGAAACTCAGTAATTATTATTCTGTAAAATGGTTCTCCACAGTCACATGCTTCAGAAAAAAGAAACTGCATCAGATGATGTAGGTCCCTCATACAGATACATGATCTCCCCTTTCAACAGCTGTAAATGAATGATAAATTGACACTAATGAGCAATTGGTGTGAGACATTCAGCAGTATCCATACACCAAAGCACAAGCTTCCAGCTAGTTTTACTAAAGTAGAAGCTGTACCAGCAAACCTGACAGGTTCAGTGCATATCAATATTTTATATTGATACAGCAGACGTCATCTAACAATCTTCAGGCAATGATTTCGATTTTACAGCCCCATCTGAGCTATGAGTCAGTGTTGACCACCTCTAAAGTTAGGAACAACACAGCTTTCTGAAACAAAAAGCAATAAAGTAAGTAAACTTCTAGCTTTTTTAGCTATAGACAAAAATTTTAAAAGGAAATCTTAAAAAGACCAAAGTCCTGAGGGATGTAGAGAGCACTAAAACCCTGCCCTAAGGACTGTGGGAAAAAAACAAACAAAACACCTTAAAAGTTAAAGCCTGTGGGGAGGATGTGTTTCCCACCCAACCATCTGAGATTTCTGAAGTGGTGTATTTTCCACAATAACCTAGATTTTAACCCTTCCACTCCCTCTGGATGAGAGGAAATTTGGTAATCTGCAAACTTGCCCTGATGTAGGAGACTCTTACCTTGAATCCTGCTTTGACAGACCACCCTGACACCCCAAAAAAGAATGGAATACAGATTTCTAAGGTTGAAACTACTGGTCTTGTGGCAGATAGGTACAGTGTGTATTGTCACAATTTGAAATGGAGGCTACCCTGGGGTGCTACTTTCCTATCACAATGAAACAGCCCACTCCACTGCCCTCCCTTAAGTCAAAGGTGAAAGTTCTTTCCAAGGGGTGTGCAATGTACAACTTCCCTTAGAGCTATTTAACAGCCCAGATGTTTTCATTTCATCCAAAGGTCTGCCCTTTATAAAAAAAACCATTTATCGTACAGCTGGACAGCACACTTCTATTTTTCTTATTATTTAGAAAAAGTCCTATGGAAAGGATAACTACCAATAAAACAGAAACACTGCAAAATTTGTAATTATAATTCTGTACACGCTTCTGAAAACCTCTTTGGCTTTCCTCTTTGTGCTCTGAATGGCTCTCAAGATCTAATTTAATTCAGTGAAACAAAACCAAAAGTGCCAGAAAAAAAAAAGAATCAGCTTTCTCTTTAGTTAGAATAAAAATTGTGCAGAAGCAATTCTTCATCTCCATTCACTAAATGGGCAGGCATATAAGCTTATAGGTGTTAATGAGACTTGCCAGCTAATGTGGACTGTGGAGTCTAATAAAATGTCAACTGACCCCACTTTGGATTTTCACTATCGGATTCTTCCAACACCAAAGTCTGGCGATGCACCCTAACAATCCCTTCAGGCCCTCTGCCTGGGGACATGGAGCAAATCATTCTTCTGGAATAGAATTAATTACTGGCTCATATGGTCAGTGTGACTTTTAGAAATTAACCTGAGGAGAAGAATAACCAAATCCTTCCCCCAGCGCTACCTTTTCCACATCAACATTCTACTTCTTATTTCCTCAATTATATACAAAACTATCCTCTGTAGCCTAGAGTGATTTCCATTAGAAAAGTATAAAAAAAAAATTAACCCTCCAGAATGCAAGCTTCCAGATCTACTTAAGGTTTAGAACTTGTGTCAGGGTCTGCTCTGAATCACCTTCATGCCTAACCACTTAGTAAAACAAGAGAGTTCAGGTTCTTCATAAATGCTAATCCACTGTCTAATGCCTGCTATGCTTGTTCTTAGTCTTGTGCGCAATATTAGGTGCCAGATCAGAAACTCATAAAATTGGATCCTTAGGGCATGAAGATTTGCTATGGCAAATTTTATGTATTGTCTTTTCAAGTTTCATTTTAAGAAGAAAAATTTACAAAAGAAAACAAAAGGTCAAGAGTTTCAAAAAAGGAAATGACTGAAATGTTAAATATGTAATAAAAAATTAATTTGTCTTAATATAAAATTTTAACAAGGCACATAATATTTCCAGAGAAGAAAGCACTTAATAATACAAAGTCTGTAAAAATATCTCAATTCTGGATTCCTGAGTCCCAAGGGTGGAAGTCCAGAGCGAGATTAAATGATCACTATATTCAGTTCAGAAAGAAAATCCACTGTTTTTAAGCACTAAAAAAGACAAAAAAAAAAACAAATAAAAAAAATAGAAGCAACTGGAGCAAAGCCAGCCTAATATAAAGGGATAAGTGACAGCTGAAGCAGAGCCACACTTGACAACTTTACGACCATCTTTGGGCCCAAGTTGCCTTTCCAAAGGAAGAAGGATTTCATTAGCTTTCCCTAAATCAAACCATGATAAAGCAAAGACAGCATCAATGCTATGGATTTTAAAACCACAGAAGTTAACCTCTCTGTACATGCATTCCCTCTGCCAGCAACATTCTCACGAAAAAATTCAGCAGCCCTTCTCCTTTACTTCCTACTGGATGACAACTCTCCTCATTCATAATCATTATGTTCTGGAAGCAAAATCTGCTTTTGTGACACAACATTTAATCAAGATGTTAACCAAAGAAAAATTTAAGACAAAAAACAGAAGTCTATTTGATCACCCTTATAACGTTCCTTTTTATTTTCATAAAGAATATGTTTCATTTACCACCTCACACTGTCATGTTACCAACACTATTGATCCTCAGAACTAGACAATATAGCACAGAGAGGATGCTGTGATTTGTTACCAATTTACTAACAAGTCACATTTTCCATATGAAAGGAAGACTTAAACTTCTCCATCCACACCTGAGGGGCATTGGTGCCACAAGAAGTCCTACTGACAGCACCTGGCCTGGCCACACATTGAACATGAGACGCAGTAAGCATCAAGTCTGCATTAAAATTTCAGGAAAAGCCTTGAGCACTTTATGTGGATGTGCTAAATCATCCCACAACTCATGCTGCAGCTCCAGCCTTCTCCAGGCAAGGAGCAATTTACCACCCACCTCCCCCAGCATGACCTCTGTTGTTCTGGCCAGCAAGCTGCATAAGACACAGAGTTAATCTCCCTATTTCCTGGAGAAAGTATGTAGGTGATTAGCCCCATTTACCCTGGTGTGCCTGAATCAAAGCCAACCAGGCACAGAAGCATGCAGGTCATTTTGAGTGCCCTGAGCATCCTCATAGTCTGAAAAACAATGTAGTCCTGAGGGCCTAAGCTTGTATTACACAGACAGTAGGTGACATAACTCATTTAGATCAAAGCACCCGGTAGAGGCACTCAGGTCTGCTCTCTCACCACTACAGCACTCCTCTGATCTGAAACCAAAGCCATTTCTCCAAATGCCAAAATGAGTCTGAATCAGAAAGAAACAGGGCCAAAAGCATCCACAGTTCAGACCTACCCAGATGGTGTCGTCTTGTCTGTACTGTCTCCAGTTGCGGCCGGTGTCGCTGAACATCAGCGTATAACTGGTTACCCAGTCTGAGCTCCCGTACCTGCCCTGGGTAGCGACTGCCACAATCTCCACTCTGTCTCCCAGATCAACCTGGAGCCACTGCTGCTCATTTGAGTCCAGTGGGGACCAGCCACCAGCTCCTGCAAGAGATTGGACAAAGATAATTTAGATGGCAATGACAGCACAAAACATTGTAGTTGAGAAAGCACCATGTTATTATTTCAGGTCATCACAGAGTAGAGGATTTCCTGAACATACAGCTGTTTGCATTAGGAAATATGCTACACGAGGTGTACTTCCTTCAGGTTTTCTTAATCTAAATTTAAATAGAATTTTTGGATTTCTAAGAATTTTTAAGGAAATCTATTCTTTGTCAGTAAGGCTGGCACATCCTCAGTCACAAAAACATATTGTATCTATCCCTACTCACATGCTTGCACAAATCTGGGAATGTTGATTTCTAACTTTGACATCATCTTCATTTGCTTTGACATCTTTTTTGTTATGTTTTGAAAGACATGTAAAAATGTTACTTATCTTTTTTGTGCCCAATTATGTATTTGAAAGAATGCTTTAATTACAGGTTGTAAATGCACTTCAGATAATATGTTGTAAAGCTAGAGACCGTTCAATTGAGCAATTAAAAGGATTGCCTTCACACTGGAAAGTAGCCTCTTCCTTATACAAGATACTTGTTAAGTGAACATGTATTTTACCCTAAACAAAAGAACAAACAAGACCTTCATAAGGACAAACACAAGTTGCAAATTATCCACTTGTCCATTCCAGAAGTCACGATCACATGCAAGCTGACAGATTGTCAGTCATCTTTATGCTTTAAAAGTAGAGTTATGTACTATCCCTTTAATTCTTTTAGAGGTTAAAGCGGCCCATGGTAATGCCAAGCCAATGAAACACCGAACTGCAACCACTGTTTGAATTTCACCACTTCAGTCACTACAATAAATGTGAGCTTATGGTTAAAAGGCAAATCCTTTCAGACTGGAATATATTATTTTATATTCTCTTGCTTTCTTTTATACCCTTAAATTATAGGCTATACTTATTTTCTTTTAATTTGTTTCTACTTGCAAACATTTATTCTCCATATACACTCAGCGTTCACTTCATCCTTACAAATAAGTGAACAATGCAGCTATGAAGAAGGCAGAAGCCATTAACAAAGTTTCCAAAGCAGCAAATTTTCAGGCTGTCACCGCTTCTGAACCCATCATCTTGTTTGTTTTGCCATTATTAGTGAAGTCTAAAAGAGCATTTCTCTGTGATTATAGTGAATACAATCACACTGGGAAGGAAAAATGGAAACATAGAGTTAAGAGTAATGCATTAACAATTCCTCATGTAAACTACAAGAATGATTCCAAGAATGGATTTCCAAACAAAAGGCATTACTAAACTTTTGTTGTTGATGAATTTGCCATAGTGTTTTAATCTTATTAACTGATCTGTCTCAAAGCTGCTCCCAGAAGAGTTTATTGAGGTGAGCTAAGCTGAAAGATCAATAAATGTTGTCTATATCAAAGAACTCAATGTCAATATCTTTGCCCTTTAAAAAATTTCTTGATTTTCCTGGACTGCATTGTATTTTCTAACTCACAACTGAAATTCCCTTGTCTAAGAATAAGGGTTAGAATTTTCATTATTTACAGTTCATTAAGATAGGATTTAGTCCTAATTCCTGAAACAGATGTATGTTTATTCCATAGCTAGAACTGAGCATTGTCCCTGCTCCCCGGATGATTCAGTCTTCATTTCTCTACAAAAACTCTCCAGGGAAAATAGTTTGTAACCAAACCGATGCATGCTGCCTGCTATTGCCATGCTTTATTTTACTTTTCTCAATCACAACAGAAGTCTTCATCGTCATTATCTTTATTTTACCTGCTTTAAATAAAGTACTCTCCTTTATGACCATGCCAGGAAAGACCTAATGAGAATATTAGGAATTTCGTCACTAAATTCTTCTCTGACTACTTCATAGCTCTCTTTTAACTCCATCAGCACATATAGCTTATCTAAGACTATAGTACTTGTTAAAAATTCTAACAAAGTTTCTTCTCCCTGTCTGCCCCCCCATCCATCCCCCCTCCCCCTTTTTTTTTAATCTTAAATGCCATATAAAGAATATTTCCGTCTGGCTTTTAAGATATAAACTATGTATCTATTTTCAAAGACAATAAGCTGCCTATTTCTCCTACAGAATTGTGGCTAACATACACAGGAGCCAAAGGAAAACTTCCTTTGGATTGTAATATCCAATATCTGAAATAGAGTCTGAACATGATAGTTCCCGCTTTGTTTACAGTTTTATTTCAGGAACTGGCAGGAAATAGAAATGCAGTTCAGAAGTTCTGGCAGGTCTGTGGCACAAAGCTGTTCCCCTCAATACTCTAAAGAGCTTATTCTAAATGTTTTCAGTAAATATTAAAAGAAAGGTCAGCATTTTTATCTTTCCTTTATTGTCTTTCTATGACCTAAAAAGCAACAGATAGATGAAGGAAAATCACTTCAAGCAAGCAATTTGGTTGATGACTTTCCCAAAAAAAAAAAAAAAAAAAAATTTTTGCTTTCTGTGTTCTACTTTATACATAACTTAAGTCAAGATTATTAACACAAGTACTTTCCAGTAATTTGTTGAACATCATAACTAACACCTACTCTATGTAGCTTATGCTCTCTCCCTCCTGCTGCTAGAAGTGGCAGAAAGGTGATATGCTTTCCACAAAAGTATTTGGCTTTACGATGTGCTGCTATTTTCCAATCTGAGCATGGCACAACAGGCTTACAGTTTCAAAGTCAAACAAACGATACACACTGAATGGAAATTTGGGAGACCTGTGTTGAGTTTTAGCTCTCAAATTGCAGATTACATGGCATCTCTGCACTGCATATCTCTTCACATAAGCACGTTTGTCTGTTGGGAATGTCACTCTTTAGATGTAAACACTGCATGACATAGCAGTGACACCTGCTCACAGCATCAGTTCTTCAGAAGCTGGTCTTGCAAGAGAGATGTTATCAGTTACAGGCCACGTCTTTACAGAAAAGCAACTGCTTCATACACCTTTTCCCCTGGGAAAAAAATCCACTCTATTTCCCTCTCCCAAACCTTCTACCATTACCATTTCCACAGATGGACAGTAGTTCTACTGACTTGTAAGAACAGCTGTTAAAATCCCTGCAACAACAAAGCTGCATTGGCTGCGTGACTGAGGGCAGAACTAGTGCTTTTCCCACTCTGCTCACTTCTGCTAGTAAAACAAACACAGAACTTCTGCTTACTTTTGTGAGTTTCCCAAATCCTCACCAAATACTGCTGTGAGTGCCAAAAATCAATATTTTTTTTTTTTTCCTCCATATTTGCTCTGTTATACAGAGCAGGTGGCACAAGGGATACTGGCATCTTTTTCCAGCATGATCTGTGTCTGCAAATTTCTGCACATCATTCCTTATAGAATGTCAACACCCAACCACGTACATTTTTATTAAGTATCAAAAAGCACATCCAAATTATCGTAGCTCTTTTACAGCCATTGCTCCTCTGCCCACCAGTGATGGTCACCCTGGGGAATGTTTGTCAGGGCAGACCCAAGAGGATGTTTAATAAAGTCAACGCTTTACAACATCATGTCTGAGAGGCATACAATTTTCCCAATCTGCCACCAGATTCCCACTGACGTTGATATGATTCTGCACATTGAGCTACATTATCATTCTTCTAGTCCATACATTTCACATTTTCTATGGATGATTTCAAGGGAGAGGTTCAACATGATATGGAGAAAATGCCCTAGTGGAGAAACTGGAATCTGATATATTGCTCATATTCTCCATGGCAACAAATCATAATGCTAGAAATATGAGGAGAACAAAGATCGGATTGTTTCTCAGTTGGAGACCTATATGACTCCAAGAAATATGATCAAATACTTCTTTCTCTTTTACAGACCATTTGTACATTTAGCTGTAATTGTTCCAAAAACTGCATTTAAGCCCAGTGTTATGTAATCAATGTTCCTTGATGTTCCACAGGGCTGCTCAAGATGCCCATACTTATTTGTAGTTTATTAATATGAAGCAAAGGCAATGCTTGTTTCCACCCCACAGTGCCTTACAAACAGCTCAAACAGCTCTATATTGTGCTAAAAACTCTTGGACTTCCTGCTGCAACTAAGTGCTTCCCTGCTGCAGAATTTTAATTTAATGCCCAGATCAAACACTTCCTGGCCATAAAACAAATTCTTTTTGACATTATATATGTTTTATATTCCCATACATAATTGCCTATACTGACTGCTCAGGCTGAGAGCTAATAGAGAAATGGAAAAGCTTAGTTGATACAGTCATATTATAGCAATTTTCTTATTCTTTTTCATTATTTATTTACTATAAACAAAAAAGCCGATTAGTCTCTCCCATGGGTAAGTAATATATTTCATACCGCAGAATCATATTTATCAGAATTATACTAACTGCTTTACTATTACCAGTACATATTTATCAGCATTTTAATTGAGCGCTTTCAGCAGTTCACACAAAGCTTTACTCATGGGTAGTTTGTGTGGTGTTTTATTTTAATGGCACATTTCACTGCTGCAGGCCTTTTTTTTTTAAGCAACAGCCTTTTAGTTATTGTTATCTATTATTGTATCAACTTGATAAATTAGAACTTTCTATCGATGTAGGTCTGGATTGTATTTTGTAAATTCTTTACCTGTTGTGTTTGTATTTACATTAACAAATAGATTTATCTGTCTTTCTACCTTGAGGCACTGTTACTTGCAACACTGTCTTATCAATTACAAAGAAAGCTGAGGCAACTCATCAAAATATTCCAACATTATTAGAAATCCATGGCACAGTCCTTGTTAGTGAATATTATTTCTTGTAAAGCTATCTACCTTTTGTATTCAAGTGCCAGCCAAAGAAATTCCTTCACACACACACACACACACACCCCCCCATTGCTTGCTCCTCCAACCCAAGAGGTACCAATGTAAGCACTGGTAGTTGGAGGGTAAAGGAACCCATATTAATTCTGCTGGCATGACATCTGTGCATTTCTACAAAAGTCTGTGCAACAACAGAATTAAACAAGATAGAATTTAGCTTCTAGCTCTCTGTGTTGGGCTTAGCTCATCCAGTACCACATAAGCCTTCAAAACATGAAAAAAAAAACAAAAACATGCTGACACAAATTCCTTACTTAGGGCTCAGTTTCAATGCTCTGCCTTCCTGTTCCAATGCTTTGTGACAAAGGACTGTATGAACCTTACCAGTGCGATACTGTATGTCTAAAAACCTAGAATATCTACTAGAATATCTTACCGCCTGCTACATGGCAAAAACTACACTGGCACAACTAAATAAGACCTATTTAATTTTCTGCTCTTAAATTGCAATTATTGTCAATTTATTTTCGATTTTGTTAGTATCACTTTAAAATACGGTAAGCAAGAGCTTGCCATGAAACAATATTGACTATGATCCTTCCTCTTTTCGGCAGAAAAAAGTAGTCATTAGAGCTATTTGCAATATCATGCAAGCACATCTGTTCACCATCCCAGCTAGCAGTTGAAGACAAAAGGCAGGGCAAACACAAAGATCACTCTCAATGTTTACAACTTTATGTTGAGCTAAACTACCTTTACTTTTACTTGATGAGGAACTCTGGTTCAAGAGTTTATGGTATAGTGACTCCCATTTAACACTTCCCTAACAACCTAGCAACTCATCATCAGTGCCAAGCATCTAAGAAAGAGACCTTAACTGTCATTCTACAGACTTATCAAACAATGTTTGATTAAAACAGACAGTTCAGAGATTTTTTAAGTAGGAAAATTCTCATTTATTTTCAATTAAAAGCTCTTTTCTAGTAGTATACTTTCTAATGTTTCTTATATTGAAAAGCATACATAATGTGATAATACAGGGCTGTCCTCTTTTAAAGGCTCTAACTTGTGAATAAGGTGGGAGCCAACAACCCAAACTTGCAACACAGTGCCAAATGATGCCCTAGATACTGCCAACTTCTGTTTTCTTGTACCAAGTTTGATCCTAATATTTTCACTTTACGTGCAAGCTCATTATTTAGGCCTCAAACATTCATCATTGCAAATGTCCATAAAATTTTTTCATTCATTTTCACTATTTCTGCAGATTTATGTAATCATTGCATTCCACTGGAACCTTAATAAGTTGCCATTAGCTTTAAAAACCACCTGCATTTTAGAATAGACCCTCAAGCCTAATGACCTTCAAGCTCTAAAGATTATAGTAAATCTTCAAAAGCAAAAAGACTATCTGAACTTCCTTCAACATGTTTCTAGAAGAGAAGTGGAGAGCTTAAAATTTAAAAGAAGTTTTCTATAATAAAGGAAAGAATTGATCCAAAATAGAGCTCTCTCAGAAGCATAAATTAACAGCTCTATTCAACTTGGCTCTGAATGCACTCCATACAAACAACATAAAAATGTTATTCTTTGTAAATGTGAATAAAAAGAATAGTTTAGGCATTTCATACTGCAACCTTACCATCTCGCCTGTTGAGCTTTGCAAAGCTGGGACTGTGAGTACTGAAGAGCTCAGAGGAACTGGTAAGGGCTGTTGAAGGTAAGGGAGATACCAAAGCATCATCACAATTATCTAAAAAAAAAGCAAAAAAACAAAACATACAGAGGTCATCACATGAGCAACAAATATGCCAACATTGTGCTATCTTCAGGCAGTGTTCACTTCTACTTAGTAGACAAGACTGCAGAAAAAGCACACTTGTGCTTGAATTCACGTGCAAGACTGAAATGTACACTCCAGAAGGACAGTCTGGTGGGACGGCAATTGGGTGGAAGGTGTTGTTAAGACAAGGAATACTTGAAAAATCTAGAATTTTTTTTTGTTTTCAGTGAATGGAATTTGATGATCTACTCTTGTTGCAAAAGTCACTAGAAGAATGTAGTAATGCCCTGGCAGACTTCAGAGAATACCCCAGGTGGTGTGTTAAGTCTCTCTACAGAGCAGATATGTAATGCAGGAGTTACAAATTCATACTTCAGTATGGAAGTGGCATATGAGGATGTGTCACCTGGCCTTTTGCAGCATGTAAAAGTGTGTCCCATCCTTCACAAGAGTCCTATGCTGCACTGAATTACAAAACCTGAACACTTCCTTCATTTCTTCCCCCAGTGCACACCCATATACACAGCCAAATTTGTTTTGTTTGCTCAAATGAGTAGTCTACTGTGTCCTTCCCCTCTTATTTTCACACCCTTATCTGAGGACAGATGGGCTGGGCTAATGTTCAGGTAGAATTTTGAGTCCATAATGTTTGAATAAGGATGGAATTAGGTAAAGTAAGTTTGCTCATTACAGTATTGTCACATACACACTCAAGAACATAGTGCGGGGTTTCAGTAGGGAATAATAATAATAATAAAACCCTCTCATTTTAATTGAATCTCCCATGGAGAAAACATGGATCTAATTACTGGAAAAGTCCTGCAGGTTAGCAGAATCTCAGGCACCACAGTGTTCTTGCACTAACAGAGTAAATATACAATTTGTAAGGATGGGAGGGAGGGGGGCAGGGAGTAATGCATTAATGATATTGAAGGGCTACAAAAGGCAAGGAATGAAAGCAAAAATTACTTTATAGTTATGACAGCAAATTTAGGACTGATCCAAAATCAGGTAATATCTTTCCCATAATAAGCCAGATCACGTTAAAATATTTCTCATAACTTTCTGCAACGTCTCTCTAGAACAGCCCAGGCACTTTTGTAATCGAAATCCAGCTCTACATGGAAAATCAGTAATTAATATAATTCGTATCAGTGCATTGACAGATGGACCTCAAAAGGAAACCTAAGTACGAAATCCTTTCCATCTCTTCAGTTATCATCAGCAAAGAGGCCTAATAAGATCTGCGAGTCAGACAAATTGAGGACAAGTATACCACTGGTGTTTTGACCATGAGGATAATTAGCCAACAAAACAAGTTACCAGGGTCTTGAGCAGATTCTCTATCATTTACAGACTTTAAAACTCAAAGAGAACTTCTGACTGCGATGCAGAAAGGTCTGTGGAGTGCCGTGCCCTCTGGTACAGCATGAGGTCAGGCCATAATTGTTCTTTCTGGATTTAAAAAAAAAAATAATCTGTAAATTAAAATAAAGTTCTGAAAATAAATACACTGTCACTGCTGACCTGAACAGTGACTTAAACAAAAATCTCAGATGGTGCCGCATTGGGCATCAAATTGACCCAGCGTTCTGCAATCTATGAAACCCAACAGAGAGGTTGGAAACCTCTCAAAAGGAGGTTCAAGGTCTTAGCAACAGATCTACGTGACTATTCAGCAATGCTTAAAATCTCAAGTTGGAAATAATTAAATGCAGAGATTTAAATTTCAACAGTGTTTAGAGTGCTGGATCTTTTCAGTTTCCTGAGGTTGCTCCTGGACCACAAGAGATCTCAGCACATCAGCCTGTGATCCACAAGTTGCCCATGACAAGATTCACAGTGACAATCTCTGGGTTCTCACTCTTCCCTCAAGGTATGATCGGATACCTCCAGGACACCAAGTGTCTCAGCACAGCATCAAGTGTAAATCATTTCAGAACAACACACTTAAGGTTTTCCCAGGCATCTCTGGAGGCTCCAGCCTCGGAAGTGACAATTAGCTCCTCTAACTACCAGATGCTTTGTCTGTATTTCCACATCCTTTGCTTCTGTCCCCAGACACACTCACCTAGATCTCTGCTACTACAGCATTATAATATCATTTTCACACCAAATTCTGGGATTGTTATTTGGTTATCCTCTACAAAAAAAACAAAACACTGCTGCCAGGAATTCTTCCCTGTATTTATATCTAACTATAAAAACATGTAATTACAAGGCTTCAGGGCAGCATTAACGATTTGAAGATAGTTCTGAAAGCACCAGGACCAATACAGTCCAACTTTCAATAGATAAAGAGAGTAACATCAATTGACTTTAGAGTGCAAGCAGGAATTTCCTCCAATTAAGCTGATTTTTGAATGGATACTCTGATGCCCTTCTCTCAGTCAAAACTGGAGGTTGCACCTGACAGCTCTACACATGTAGACCCACAATGCAGGACATGGCACAGCTTTTACATGCCAAATGAACCTTCAAAGTACCGTACAGTAAAGTGCCTGAGATGCAACTGTGAACTTGTACATGCACAACAATCCAGATAATACACAGAATAGCTCTGGTACATCCCTTGTCAGACAGACTACACATACAAAGTGTACATAATATTTGAGATTCATATATTTTTGTAAAACTTAGCTCAAAGAAGCCACAAGGTGCAAAAAGGTAGGATGCGCACATATAGTGAGGCTAATCCCATGGGCCCCACTTCCATGAGAAAGCAGAATTGAAAAAGCAACCACAACCACCAAACAAACAACCCAACACACACCTTTCAAGATTACAAGACTCTCTGAGAAAGGATGTTGTTATTTCCTTTTGTGATGACAAAAGAGAGAGAGAAGATGACAAGAGAGAGATGAAATGTTTTCTGCTTATGCAGATTCAGAGAAGACCCATAGCAAATCCAAAAGCAAAGCCAAAGTTTCCTGGTTCCCAACATATTATCCCAGCACACACATTTCAAGAGACTTATCTCCCCCACTTGATGTGACAGAAAAGGACCTTTATTCTAGCTACTCCCAGGTTCCTCATTTCTGACCTTACTGCTTTTGCCTTGGCAGTTTGCCCGTCAGAACCAGAACTTTGCTTCTTTGTGTTAACTCCATTATATGTCTATTAAAACAATTGTTTTTACCAAATAAAATTTCACACTACAGAATCATTTAAAATATCTGGATACTCACAAAGAAAAGCATTTACTAGCCAGTTGTTTTCTACTATGTTGCCTTGCCAAGCAGGTAATTAGGAAAAAAAAAAAAAAGAAAAAAAAAAAAAAAAAAAAAAAAAAAAAAAAAAAAAAAAAAAAAAAAAAAAAAAAAAAAAAAAAAAAAAAAAAAAAAAAAAAAAAAAAAAAAAAAAAAAAAAAAAGAAAAA